GCCTGTGTCTGCCCCCCTGAGGGCGTGCTCCAAGGCTTTGCTCCCCATCTCCCTGGTCTGCTGGTCGGGAGACGGGGAGCAAAGCCGCGGAGCACGCCTGCAGGGGGACAACTCAAGCGCGCCCGGGCTGTCCCGCTGCGGGCGTGCTCCAAGGCTTTGCTCCCCGTCTCCCTGCAGACCAGGGAGACGGGGAGCAGCTTTTCTCGCCCTGGAGGACGGGGGCGGCGGACCTCGGCGCATCTGGGCGTCCCACCGCTCCCGTCCTCCGGGGCGAGAAAAGCCCCATTCATAACTGCGGATCCGATGTAAGTTGGATCCGCGTAACTCGGGGACTGCCTGTATAGCTTTATTGTTTTCCTCCTATAGCAATGAACAACTATTATGTATAGCTCCTGTGACTGAAAGAAACTAAATACTCATATATCCCATAAGGAATGTTTTTATGAGAACAAAGAATGGGAGAACAACTTGTGTGTGCAGAGTTCCTGAATTTTGGGGCGAAAAATAGCACTTGATAGTTGGAACATTGTTCCATGGTGGATTTAAACAACTGATTTATCACCACCTACTTTTTAAAAACAAGTGTAATGACATATTGAGAAATGTAAATAAAGGAATGGACATTATATCCATGTGCAGTTATAACTGTTGCCTTTTTGTCTCTTGGTTTCCTTTGAAAATTCACTTGCTAGGCCAACTTGTAGTATTTTCTCAAGAATATGTTTACTGAAGTGTAGAAAAAGTGACTAATTTAACTAGACATTTCATATGCCTTTATTATTGTACAATAATAACATTTAGAAGACAGGGCAATAAACTAAGGTGTGTGTGTGTGTGTGTGTGTGTATATGTATATGTATATGTATATGTATATGTATATGTATATGTATGTATATATATATATATATATATATATTATTTCATTTCCCCCACACTCCGGTAAAAACCCAAAGCACCACAATAAAATCTTGCAATATTGTTCAGAGATTATTTTCTAATTAACTAGTATGCTACACTAGGAATTATCTTGACGGTGTTCCATTGAGATATAAAATGAAGAAACTCAAAGTGCAACAAGAAGCTTACTGGAAAGGTTTGATGGCTTGGTGACAGCAAATATTAGCTCCCTAGGGTATCTCAGCCTGAAGTTTTCTTTTATATTGGCTCCATTTCAGAAATAATAAAGCTAAGCTCATGCAGAAAATTGTCTTGATGTGATAGACAGAATTGCTCTTACTAGTTCAAAGAGGGGCACAGGTGGTTATGCTAAACCCCATGCAAATTTTCCAACTTTGAAAAAATGTTTCAGGGGAATTTTTCAAATTAGCTGGAGATCTCAGGGCTGCTAGTTGCATCGTTTGTGTGCATCGTTACAGCTATTTGTGCTTATTTTCTACTTTTCAAACATTAGAACACAGTAGCTGCTAGGAACAGTGCTTTTAGTATCAACCACTGTAATGACAACAATCAAAAGGGAGAACAGTCTTATGAATAAGGCAATGGATTGAGATGCATGCGATCTGGATTATGTTCTTGTACTGCCATGCATTTAGAGCCTGGGTAAGTCACTTTGTGTCTCTGCTCATTTCTCAGTCTGCAATATTTCTATACCTCATGTTGCTGTTGTGAGACAGGGAAGTATTGTTGGTGATAATTTGAAAGCTACAGTGACTGGAGCTGTAATTACCTAGAAAAGAAAACTGAAACAAATATGAAGGTTTTCTAATATGCCTCCATTCCCTTTTTTGCCTCTGCTTCTCTTTCCATTATGCCACTTTTCCCTGGTGAGGGTTCTATCTTTCTAATAAGCCTCCATTCCTTAGCACAAATATCATTTCACTTTCCTTCGATTGGGGTATATCATTGTTCCTCAGGGAAAAGTATGGAAAACGCTACCATTTTCTTATCAACAGCCAGAAATTCACTAGAATTAAAGATCATTTGAAAATCTTTACATGAACCAGTTTCAGGTATAGCTTCAAACTGGCCTTTTTGGATTGTAAACTCTATGAGAAATTCAGATAATATACCCAAAAAATTCCATTTGTGATCAAACACGATTATATATATTTCATAGTAATAGATCAAACACAGGAATTGTGATTTGCCTTGTGTCTTTCACAGAGGCTTTTATACATTCCCAAAAGAAGTTGTTCATGGACACGAAGGGCTGTGATACTACCTTGTGAAGAACCACAGCAATAATCTTGAGTAATGAGCAAAGATTCCTACATTTTTTCAAGAGAGCTCTTAAAAGGTAAAGAGATGTTCTTTCAGACCGTATGTTTTTAATTGTTTGCTTTTATAACCGAGACTAGAAGATTTACCTGATATTTCTTGAGTTCTTCAAGGCAGGGGGCTGCGGCTGTGGAGTGTGTGTGGATGAATTAGGGCAGGGGCTTTGGGATGAGGGCGGGTCAGGGCAATGGGAAGGAGATATGGCAGTTGCAGGAGTCAGGGCAGAGGATAGAGGCTCAGGGCAGGAGTGGTGGGTGGTGCAGAAGTCAGGGTAGGAGGCTGTGAGGTGTGGCAAGGCTGAAGGCCAGGGTTGGGGTACAGGAGTCAAGGTATGGTGGTCAGAAGAGGAGGTGAGGAGCTCAGGGCAGTAGGGGTACAGGGCCACAGGGCTCAGGGCAGATGGCTAGGAGGGCCTTATTGAGGCTGCCTGTGTGACAGCAAGGGTATCACTACTCCAACAGCAGCCTATCCTGGGGAGCTGGGGCTGTGCTGCCCTGGCAGCTCCTCAAAGGGAGGGGCTACATTGGCTACTTCCCCCC